CAACTCAGATGGCAATGGCAAGTCTGCAAGCAAATGGCATAATTTCTTTTCCACTTCTTTTTTTACTGCTTTTACTGAAATGTTATCTTGCAAACTGTAGCGAAATAAAAAGATTTTTATGTCATCAAAAAAGACAAATTTCTAACCAAAACAATGCAATCAGGTTCTATACATTACTAAGTAATATCAAAATGGATTGGTGAATATTTTTGCTACAAAAATTTGTTGAACACTTTTAAAGCATGCATGAGATTAAACCAGTGATGGTGAACCTTTTTTGCCTCAGGTGCCAAAAGCACGCCCGCGTGCCCACACCCATAATTTAATGCCCCCCCGCATTGTGCCCCCTGTGCATGCGCATGTGCCCCCCCTGCTGCCTCGTGCATGCGTGCACGACTTTTTTGGAGCCTGGGGAGGGCAAAAATGGCCTCCCCCCCCCGAGGCCCATTTTCCGACTTCCAGTGGGCCCAGTAGGTCCATTTTTCACTCTCCCCAGGCTCCAGGGGCTTGCTAGGATCCCAGGGAGGGCAAAAACACCCCCAAGGCCCTCTGGAGGACAGAAACGGCCCATTTTCCGAATTACGGTGGGCCCGGTAGGTCCATTTTTCACCCTCCCCAGGCTCCAGAGGCTTTCTAGGAGCCTGGGGAGGGCAAAAATGGCCTCCCCCCCCCGAGGCTGTAAAAGCCCTCCCAGAGCCTCCGCGCAAGCCCTGTACTTACTTGACATTGTGTGGAGACTCCTGGGAAGGGAAGGACAGCATGGGCGGGCCAGCCAAAAATCAGCTGGCCAGCGTGCGTATGTGTGCTGGAGCCGAGCTAGGGCAATCACTCGCGTGTCCACTGATATGGTGCCATATGCCATAGGTTCGCCATCACGGGATTAAACTATAGAAGTTAATGTTAGTATAGCAAAAAGCATTTACACTTCAAGAAAACCCATCTAACATTTAGTTTGATATTACATCTTTAAAAAAAGTATTTCACAACTCACCAATCTGTATCTTTATCTTCAGGCAGCACAGGAGGAAGAGGCAGGGGTGGCAGAGTGGAAGTGATTGGTGCAACACTACAGTCCTCCTTAGATACTGCAGTTGGCACATGAGACTTACTCTTCTCTTTTACTGTAACAAATTGTGTTGATGATTTCACAAGGATTGGTTTATTTTCTTTCACTGCTAAAAATTCTTGCTTAGCCACTTTCTCTACAATCACATTGTTTTCCACTGTAGTTTCCTGAACAGAAACTTTTGTTTTTGTCTTATTATTTTTCAAGGTTAAACTACTTGAAAGGGAAGATATATTTTCTGTTTTTATCTTTTTTACTTCCTTTACATTGTTCACTTGTTGTACAGCAACTCCTATGTTGATGTTTCCCTTAGCAGGTGTAGAGGTGTTTGAAAATTTTGCATTGGCTTTGGCTGCCACTGCGGCTCTGGCTTTTTTGTTCTTGTTCAGCTCTGCCCCAAGGCTACTTTTTAGAGTCAGAGTGCTAGGTGAAATACTCGACTGACTTCTAGGTCTTGACAATCTGTGTCTACTACGAGATCTT